AGTCATTAATTTAATAGAACTTTTGAGTATATTTATAGATTACAATGTATAAATATAAAAATAAACATATTAATTTAATGATCATAGTTAATCATATATCTTAAATAGTGAAGAATTATTTTGTCACACTAAATTATCATAAATCCATAATCTCACAACTTTATCAATTGCAATTTAGAAGTCAGGTAAATACCAAGTAGGGTCAATATTAGATTAGTTATAATAAATCAAGTCATTTACCGGTTGAGTCAATTACAAGTTAGGTTCATAACATATCAGTTGATAACAGGTCGTGTAATATCAATTATTTACCAGGTTAATCTCGGGTTCAGATTCATATCAGGCCGGGTTCGGTTATGACGTTATCAAGTTCAATTCGGATTCATGTCATTCTCAAGTCAGTTGCAGGTCGGGTTCAGGTCCAAAATTACCAAATCTAATTCGAGTTCAGATCAACATCAATTCATACTCGAATCAATTTCGAATCATCACCATCTAGAGTCACAAACAATTTTGAATCAAATTAGTTTCAATCAATCTTATAGATCATGTCAATCTTTTACATCCCTAGTCAAAACATTTATTATTGTTTTCTTTTTTTAGTACCATTAATAGTTTTGAGAGCTATTCATAAAATAATAAATATCGTAAATGTGAGGTGGTATAACCTATGTAATCTATTCGTCTATGTCACATACAATATATAAAAGTTACAATATATAAAAGTGACCCGTCCGTTGGTGGATCCTAGGGGGTGTTTGGATGGGGGAATGTGGGATTCCCATAGGAATGAAATCTACATTCCCCGTTTGGTTAGCCCGGGAATCTTATTCCCGGTAATGTAAGATTATCAATAATAGATTTTTTGAGGTAAATTATCGGGAATGTCATTACCTCCCTTTCCTTAGGTATTGTTGGATTACCGACATTTTGGACTAAAATGCCCTTAAATATTTTTTTTTTCAAAAATATCCTTCTTCTGTTATTGAATAATAAAAATTCTACGAATGTTAAATTACAAATTTATCCTTAAATTATTTTAGATTTACAAAAAAAAATCTATAATTAAAATTTTATATGAAGTTCAAGGGTTAAAATAAATTTTTACCCTTTCATTAAACTTTTTTATTTTTAATTTTGTAAAAAATATATAAATATTATGAATTTAAATTTTTTAAAGAAAATATATAAATATTTTCCAACTTGTAATATTATACAAATATATAATAAGGACAATTTGGTCAAATATACATTCCAATAATCTTTTTATTCCTTTAACTAAACACGATAATCTTACATTCCTACTAAGCCAACCAAACACAAATACAACATTCCCAGTAATCCTATTCCCTGGTAATCTTACATTCTCACTGGTAATCTTACATTCCATGAACCAAACGCACCCTAGGGGTGTAATCGAGTCACCAACAACATTAAGGGTTCGTTTGTTTCACGTAAAACGTTTTCCGGAAAATATTTTTCTCATTTTTCAGTGTTTGGTTGGAGGAAAACTGGTTGGTCAACGTAAGACATTTTCCTGGTCAACAGAATTTCTTTTGTGTTTTCTGGAAAATGACTTATGGTCTGATTTTTCGTAAGTCATTCTATGAACTTTTCACTTCAAAGAATAAATACTCAAAATAATTTTATTTTATGAATTTAATATTAATAAAATATTTTAATATCATTTTAATCAAAATATTAATTATTAATATTTCTAATAATATTATATTATTTTTTTAATAAAATAATCAATTATATTATAATAATATAAGATATTATATTTTTATTTTAATAATATATAATAAATTATTAATAAAATGTATATTATTTATTAATTTCATAGAAATAATAATATTATATTATTAATAATGAATAATATTATTTATATATTTAATATTAATATAATAATCTAATAATATTTTAATAAAGATATTTAAAATATACTAATTAATATTTTAAAAATATAATATAACACTATTACATTAATAAATAATTAATATAAGTTATAATATTTTTTTATTTCAATAAAATATACCAATATTAATATTTTCATTAATAAAATTATAAAAATAATATTTTATAAAATATTTTAATATTTTAAAAATAATAAAATTAAGTTTTATGATAAATAGTATTATTTATTGTATTTAATATTTGTAATAAATAATTTAAAAATCATTAACTAGTGAAAAAATGGTTTAAATAACATCTTTCAAATATTGTAAAACGTTTTTTAAAAAATATTTTTAAAAAAAATATAATTTATTTTACGGAAAACGTTTTTAGAATTTTCACTAACAAAGTTGAGATGAAGCCTTTTACTATAACGGTGAAGGAGGAAAAGAGAAGAGAGTGAAGAGAAAAGGTGGGTAAAAAAGCTCTATCTCCCGTCATAAACCATACATATGACATAGGTAAAATCAAGCTGGAATCAACCTAAAATTTAATGGTGGAATAATAGCACCATTAGCAAGCCTCAAGAGCCCAATTATGACCCTAAGTCAATAAAAAGTTATATCGAGTTAATTTTCATACGTTGACTCAAAAATTCGAGACAATTACAACATAAGTTAACTTGACACTCGAATATAAAGATATTGAAATATACTTGACATCATACTCATTCGACCCAAACTCAATTTAAAAAATGAATTAATTGTATCACATGTCCCTAAACTATAAGACTCATTTTAAATTGATCCTTAAACTTTTGAACATTCTAATTTCATCCATAAACTATGATCCTCTTTCTAAATTAGCCCCTAGATTTTTGCATAATCCAATTTCATCCCTAAATTCATCCAAATATGTGATTAGTTTTAACCATAGTTTAACCTAAATTTTATTTTTTTGAAACATATAATAATATAACTTGGCCTAATGATTTTATTAACAAGGGATGTGATTAATATTTATGTATAGTTTGAGATGAAATTGGAATGTTAAAAAAGTTTGAGGATTAATTTAGAATGCGGTTCATAGTTTAGGGATGAAATTGAAATGTTCAATACTTTAAGGACTAATTTAGAATGATAAATATAATTTAGGGATGAAATTAAAACATTTAAAGTTTACGGACCAAATTAAAATAAAGATTATACTTTAAGGATATACGATGCAATTAACTCAAAAAATCATAAACTTATAATATCTAGTCAAAACCTCTCGGATTCAAATAAAATGACTATCCTAAATATAATATCCAAAGCTAAAAGAGATATAAACCTAGTAAGAGAAAGTATATAAAGTTAGATCTAAAAGATTATATTAATGATTTTTTTAATATTTATTAACCCCATTTTTTTATTTACTTTTCATTACGTGTGTCTGTTATCTATTAATTTTAATGACTTTAGTATAGATTAATCTTATCAAGTCGAATAAGATCACAAAAATTATAAAATTCTCTCATCAAATATTTAATGCTATTATCATAATCATACTCTAACGAATTATAAGTAAAATTTTCTCAACTATCATCCCTTTTATCTCTCTGATTATTATACTTTCTTTTTATTTTGATAAACTGTTTTATTAATTTTATCAATACTATTAAAAATATATTTCATTAAATTTGATATTACGAGTTAATCGATATAAAAATATATAAAACTAAAATATGGTAACTAATAGCATAGATTTAAATTAAGGTTTGATAAAATAGTAATTTTGAAAGTAAGAGAGTTGACGATCCTTTTATATTTCTTGTTTTATCTTATTTTTAGAAAGATATTATCTTAAAATCCGTTTTTATCGTTTGATTGAATAATCATTTTGATTATTATTCCTTTAAAAGAAATATTCTAACCGTCAATGCTTTATTTTAGTAAAAAATAATCATTCTTTTGATTAAATAACGTTAGTTGACTAATAATTAATACTTGCCACTGACAATATAGATCTACATGACTATTTTGATAAAAAAATATAAAGTTAAATGTTAAAATATTTCAAAAAAGAATACGAATCAAAGGTGATTATTCTCTAAAATATTAAAGGTAAATTTTGATATTATGTCTTTTACAATTAATAAGAGAAGAAAGAACAAAATTTTAGCCTAAATATTATGTTTTATATATTATTATGTTTCTACATCATATTTTTTTAGTTTTTTTTTAAACTGACAATTTAGCCTAAATATTATATTTTATATTATAATTTTATGATCTATAATTTTTGTATGTTTGGATTTATTTCATATTTCACTAATTTATATAAAAAAACATAATTTTAAATATTTTGACATTGAGCAATAATTATGATATGCTGGTAGATATTTTCTGTATTTATAAAAACATATAATTATTTGATTTATATATTATAAAATGTATGTATTTAAAGGTAACTGTGGTTTTCATATTTATTATCATACATTACCCATATAAAAGTTATTATTGGAAAACATTAAAACAATTAATTTCCTTTTCATTTGTTAACCGAATAATTATTAATTTTAAGGATAAAGTACACATATTACATATTATTCTTGGCTATAGGATAATGCTTTGTTGACATGGTCTTCCGTTTATGGGGAGCTAGTTGAGTCATTCGACTATTAAAAATTATAAAATAGTCACACAATTATTTATTATGTTCCAAACTCATCATTTTCATTAACAAATTAATTGTCATCTGAGCTGGACATTAACATGTTGACTGAGATATGATAGTAATTTGAGGTTATAATATCAGATTTTATCATATCTCAGTCAGCAGGTTAACGTTCAGTTCAGATTGTAGTCAATTTTTTAATTAAAAATGATGAGTTTGAAACATACTGAATAGTTGGATGATAATTTTGTTATTTTTCATAGTTGAATGACTCAACAAAACAAATTCATATAGTTAGAAGATTATTTTATAATTTGTAATACTCAGAGGACTCGATAAACAACACCCTATAATTGGGTGACCATTTGTTTATTTTACCCTAATTTTAAATATAAAGTATAGTTTTTTTTTCTCTCTCTTTATTATGGTTTCTCAAACGCTTTTTTATGTCTTGTTTGGCTCTCTCATCCTCCAATATTCCGCCATGGAAGCACCTTGAGAAACCCTAACTAAATCCACTCTAGCGTTCTTTTTTTTTTTAAAAAAAAAGTTAACTGCAAAATGGGTTCTCTTGTGCCTTTCCAAGACCTCAATCTCTTCCCAGAACCACCGCAAATCGCCACATCCTCCGCCGTGAACACCTCCACCTTCACCACCAGCCCCAACAGCATCACTGGCAAAACCACCTTTAATTTCTTAACTCCCAAGCTTGAACCTAAACAAGAGCCTTTCGACGAGCCAATACCTACAAAGACCATTCACCAACAAGAAAACTTCCTCTTCTCCGATTCCAATTCTACCCCTGATTTCATTCCTAAACCCGAAACTACCCCTCCATCCAACGTCTCATCTTCCACCGATGACCAAAACGCCCTTTACTGCGAATACTTCCGTATCTCGGAGCTCTTCCGCTCTGCTTTCGCCGAAAGGATACAAAAATACGGTGACGTCGAAGTACTGGACCCGGATTCTAGGGCCATCGTACCCGTACCTGAACAATCTCAACTAACCTCCGAAACCAGCCCAACTGACAGCTCCCACCCCCAACAAGCTTTGTCTGTCGTCGTTTCACGTAAGAAGGCCGGAAGATCCAATGAGCTGGTTCGGGTTACAAATTTAGGAATCGAAGACCAGCTGCATTTCCGGGACCTTGTCCGAAGAACCCGATTGATGTACGATGCCCTCCGCATTTTAGTCGTTTCGGAGGAAGAGAAGAGAACCGGAGCTGGACATGGTCGACGGGCTCGTGGCGATTTGAGGGCGGCTGCAGTCATGAGGGACCGGGAACTGTGGTTAAATCGTGATAAACGAATAGTGGGTGCACTCCCGGGTATTGAAATTGGTGACGTCTTCTTCTTCAGAATGGAGCTTTGTGTTGTGGGTTTACATGGACAAATTCAAGCAGGGATTGATACCTTGCCTGCGAGCCAAAGCTCCAGCGGAGAGCCAATCGCCATCAGCATTATTATTTCTGGTGGGTATGAGGACGATGAAGATTCCGGCCTCTCGGTAATCTATACCGGTCAAGGTGGACAAGATAAATTTGGAAAGCAATGTATGCATCAGAAGCTTGAAGGAGGGAATTTGGCATTAGAAAGGAGTATGCATTACGGGATTGAGGTAAGAGTGATTAGAGGGCTTAAATACGAGAATAAAGTTTCGTCTAAAGTTTATGTTTATGATGGTTTATATAAGATTCTTGATTGCTGGTTTGACGTGGGGAAGTCAGGTTTCGGGGTTTATAAGTTTAGGCTGTCGAGAATTGAGGGACAACCTGAGATGGGTAGTTCAATAATGAGGTTTGCTGAGAGTCTTCGAACTAGGCCATTGTCCGCTAGGCCAACGGGGTATTTGACTCTTGATATTTCCATGAAAAAAGAGCGTGTTCCTATCTTTCTTTATAATGATATTGATAGTGATCATGATCCTATGTATTATGATTACCTTGTGAACACTGTTTTTCCTCTCAATGCATTTGGTCAACGGAGTAATGGTACTGGATGTGACTGTGTTTCGGGGTGCACGGAAGGGTGTTTCTGTGCTATGAAGAATGGAGGTGATTTTGCGTATGATTACAGTGGGATTCTCTTGAGAGGGAAACCGGTGATATTTGAATGTGGGAATTTCTGTCAGTGCCCACCAACTTGTCGGAACCGTGTATCACAGCATGGGTTGAGAAATAGGATGGAAATATTTAGGTCAAGAGAAACAGGTTGGGGAGTGAGGTCCTTGGAATTGATACAAGCAGGTGCTTTTATATGTGAATATACAGGAGTTGTTCTCACAAGGGACCAAGCAGAAGTTTTCAAGATGAATGGTGATACATTGATTTATCCTAATCGCTTTTCGGAACGTTGGGCAGAATGGGGGAATTTGTCTAGGATATTTCCAGAATATGTGTGTCCATCATATCCCTCAATTCCTCCTATAGATTTTGCAATGGATGTATCGAGGATGAGGAATGTTGCTTGTTATATTAGCCATAGTTCCGGTCCTAATGTGCTGGTGCAGTGTGTGTTGTATGATCACAACAACTTGATGTTCCCTCACCTTATGCTTTTTGCAATGGAGAATATCCCTCCTTTGAGAGAGCTTAGCATAGATTATGGTGTAGCTGATGAATGGACTGGGAAGCTCTCTATCTGTAACTAAATATCTAAGAGATTTTTTGGATTTTGATGTGGTGCAGTGGGGCAATGAGACGTGATTTACTGAGGTGAGCTCCACTTCCAATTGTTTCAAGCATTTCCGGTTGTGTATATTCATTTAAAACATAAAAATTTGTGGTGTAAAATCTTTAGATATTGCTGTTGATTTTGTATTTCTCATGCTTTCTTGTAGTCTATTTGTCTGCCATGTTTGTTTGTAGGAGCTAGGAATTTATTCCTTTTTGCAATTTCATGGTGTAAACATTAAGTGGTCCGCCATATGCAGGATAGTTGCTTATCTTCTACGTGCATGCTTTGTTTTCTAAAGTGCAACATACTTATTTTATGTAATGTATATGTTGTAGTAGTCTACATCTTGTTTTGTCTTTCCTGTCTAATTCTACAGTTTATCTCTGCTCAGTTCTATGAAACTATTCTTTTTAATCATTCCTGCTCTTCAATTTTAAGGGCTGCAAATGACAAACTTGTTTTTTTTGGGTTACTTCATTATTGGATTTTTCCTTGACTAACTAAATAATTTAAGAATGATCCTTCTGTTTTTGTACTCTTTGGTTTATCCATTAAATTCGTTTTCTCCGAGGTAAGGAGAAATTGGTTCGTCATCTATATTATCTATCAATAACAGTGACGATTGCCGTGCTAGGTTTACTCTTGAGGGATTTGAATGATCTGGTTACTGAGATTTCTTCTGGCATGTTTTGTATTGTAGTTCTATGGGAACTTCATCTTGGACAAATTCACATGTTCTGTTAATTTGGAAGGTGAGCTGTCATAAAATGAACGATACCTGGGGTCTGGAAGAACGTAATGGAAAATATACCATATTAGTTTTGTTTCCCTTTAATAGTTTCAAAACGACTAAGGTCATACCATTTAGTATGACTGGAGTATTGCCAACTAATACGTTTGCAAACCATTCACATCAAATGACTGAGAATAGGAAATCATAAGTTTTTTTTTGGTAATTATTAGCTCATAATCTGTTGTTTGATAATGCAATATGTTTGCTTATTCAATTCCGATGCTGCAAGATCATGGATATAAAAAAATACATAGTACTTTTATTCATGCCAAGATCTCAAACAAGTAATTCATTATATCAGGTTGCTCACTTCAGTGAATTTCTGCAGGTGGGGGGATCAGACAATGCATCTAAAACTGTTTGTTGTAGCCGTGTTATCATTGTAAGTACGTTCATTATGTCTAGTGATTCACTTAAGTGAATTTCTGCTGGTGCCGATTGAACAAAGCATCTAGAACAGCTTTTTTCCTCTTCATCTGATTCCTTAAACATTTTGTACCTCACCACTTTCTCTGAATGTTGTTACAATGGTATCAGATAAGATTTTGCCTTGCTGCTATCATGGTTTTACCTATTCTGTTCGCATTAGGTCGGTCCCTGTTGATGGTTATAAAATATGGAAACCGATGAAAGAAACTCGGGATTTTATGGTTTCTACTGCAATATGCTGCTGACATCTGTTTATGATCTTTTCCTTTTTACAATGAAACCCTTTTTTGACATTCTTTTCCTCATTTGTACAGGAATTGTGTTGGTGTATTTGTAGTTGAAATCTCCAATGTCTTTCGTTTAAACCTTCCCAATATGGATGAATTCTAAGAGAACGTTTACTCTTTACTTCACATTAGGGTGATATAAATTGTCTGATGTAACTTGCTGGTTTATCCTCCATTATCAAGATATATATGAGTATATGTTCGATATAGTTATACTCGATTTCTTCGAGTTTTCCCCCCTTAATGCATTGGTACAATCTTTGGCAAAGTTCAATGGTGATACAGTAGATCAGTGGGACATATCCACATCTATGGAGCTTTTTCGTACATCTTATATTGCCTTCTTAAATCATGTATCCGGCAGCTTCATCTATGGAGTCTTTCAAGATCTGCTTTAACTTTGATTATAGAGTATGCTTGTGTTCTCCGATTATGATATGGTTTTGACTAGGGGTGTTTGTTGAGCTAGTCAATCGTGAGTGGGAGAGTGCTCGACTTGTGTTCGTTGAAAAATTTTGTTGCTCGACTCGACTCGTTGTTCATTTAGCTCATCAAAATTTTACTCGATTCGTTCTCGTTAAAAAAACTCGTAGCTCGACTCGTGTTTGTTAAAAAAAATTTGTTGTTTGACTTGACTCGTTGCTCATTAAGCTTGTTAAAATTTTGTTGTTCTACTCGTTCTCGTTTAAAAAATTTTGTTGTTCGACTCGTTGCTCGTTAAGTTCGTTGCTCAATAAGATTATTGCTCGTCTTGTTGCTCGTTAAGTTCATCAAAATTTTTACCTTATTTTCTAAATTATAGGTAAAATTTATTAATATTATATAGAGATTAACATAAACATAAATTAATAAATTTAACCAAAAGAATTATAAAAAGAGTCTATGAAACAATTTTAAAGTCTAAATTCTAAAGTAGTAATTCATAAATATATCAAAATAATAAATAGAGTTTGATTTTTGGGTGTAGTAAAATATTTTGATTTTTGGGTGTAGTAAAATATTAATTAATAATTTACTTTTTTGTTTATTAAAAAATAATAGATTAATAATTCATCATTTTTTTATTATCTATTAGTAAATTAATAATTTTTAATGAAATAATTTTTTAAGATAACTACTAAAAATTTATATATAGAAAGTTTAATGAGTTGCTCGTAAACTTATCGAGTTGAATTGAATTTTGTTCGGTTCAACTCGTTAAGATATCGAATCAAGCTCCAATTCGAGTTAAATTAGCTCGAATCAAATTTTTATCGAATTTTGACCGAATCAAATTCAAGTTATTTACAAGCTGCTGAAATCATCAAGAACTCTTTGTTTGACTGTCTTATTTTAACAGAAATTATCGCAGAGATTAATGCACTGTATTATTGAATTGCTATTTGCTAGGACAATGTTTAACAATAGGGTTGAGCAACGAAACCGAAAAAATCGAAAAACTGATACGAATCAAGTAAAACGGTTCGGTTCGGTTTGACTTTATACGGTTCAGTTTTCGGGTTGGTTTAAAGTCTCAATTCTATTGATTCGATTCGGTTCGGGTTTTCCATATGAAACTCATTTGTTCCATATTGAACCGAATAGACAATTTTTTTTAAAAGTTATAGTTTCAAGTGAATTTTTCATTAAAAACCGATAAACCGAACCGAAAAAACTTAACCGAACCAAAAAAATCGGTTTCACATAATTCGGGTTTTTAACCATTCGATTTCAGTTTAAATTCTAAAAACCCGTTTATTTCAGTTCGATTCAATTTTACTACCGAATACACCCAAATTTAACAGAAATTAACGGAGGATGCGAATTGCGGTTTCATTCTTAAAATTTTTATTTATTCTTTTATCTAATTTAGATATTTTTATATCTTTATTAATAATTTAATTTTATATTTCTTAACTTTTATTTATAATTTTAAATTATTAATATGTTTTTTTAAATCTTCCTTTTTAATATAAAATTGGGTAAACTACATGTTTAATAACTGAATTTTACTCTCTCTCTTATTTCACATCGTACTTTCAGTTTTTTCAATTTACTCAATGAATGTTATATATTAATTTTTTTTAATCACTCTGTCGTTAAATAATTAACGACGTTATGACATGTCCGCATATTAATCTAAACTCTGTCGTTTTAGTCTAATTTTTTTTAAGAATTTAAAATAACATGTTTTGATATAAGTTGTCATGTCATAACATCATTTAATTATTTAACGATGGAGTGACTAAAAAATTAAAATTCAATGAGTAAATTAAAAAAAATTAAAAATACAGTGCATAAAATAGGAGAGAGGATAAAGTTTAATTACCAAACTCGTAATTTACTCTATAAAATTATACTTTTAACATATATATAACTGCTTATAACATAAAAATAACATAAATTATTTAAAACTTAATTATAAGTACATGAGTATTAATATAAGTTTTTTTTTTGCTTGTGGCGGGAAAGGAGCTGAAGTGAGCAGAGAAACAAGACATTCTTTTTTCTCCATAAAACCTCTCAAAAAACCCTAGAAATTTTCTAAAAGTTCATTACGTCCTCTCTCAATTCCCTAATTTCTCCCAAAATTGAGAGGCGGTTTAGCCAGCATGTACTGGTTAGCAACGCGAAGCGTTGTCGTTTCGTTTCCCAGATGGCGTTCCCTTGCCGTTCTCCTTCGTTATCCTCTCAACAAGCACGCTTCCTATATTCCTTCACCACTTATGTAATTATTTTCCATTAATTTCCAGTTCATTTGATTTTTTCTAATAAAAAATAAATGGAGTAGCCAAAGTCTTGTTTGGGAAAAATATTTAAGTTTTTCTTTATATTGGTTGCAAACAAAGTACAAATATTTGTACCAAAAAAGCCAAGTACAAATTTTACCTTTGTGTGAATAGTTTAACAAGTTCTTTATTTGTAACTGCTTTTAAAATGCCAGTTTGAATAACCATTTTTGGTTCATTATCCACTGAAGTGATATTCCCTCTTAACTACTAAATTCTTATGTCATTCCTAAGATTAACCCGTGGTTATTAAACTAACTCGAGCTATTTCTCAGAAATTTGTGATGAATTGGGAAATGAGAAGTGTTTCTGATAATAAGATTGCCCGTTTATTTGCAATTTCTTTCTTATTTGGGGAGGGCTTGTTTCATTGGTGGTGTCTTAATAGGTTAACGATTCCCTCCCCCTCTTTTAACTACTAAAGTTTTAGCTATTTGCATATTTGGGTTTCAAATGTTTCTTTTTATCTAAGAGATTGTCTTGAGTTGTCTAAGCTGTATAATACCATTTGCCTTTTTTTTTTTTTTTGTAAATTTAGTTCCTAGTTTCTAAATATCTCTTTGCAACAGTATGAGACAGTTTGGGCGGATACACTGTTTCAAAGATCAGAAGACTTCGAGAGGAAACACCAGGAAATATAAGGCATCAGATAAGTCCCCAAATGATAAGGATCTTTCTCACATAGTCTGGTGGAAAGAGGTGTACCTTTTTGCCTGCTTCATTACAGTATTTGATTTGTTAATGTTGAATTTTTTTAAGATCTTATACTTTTCATTCTTTTGTGGCAGAGACTGCAGTTGTGCCGCAAGCCTTCGACTCTCAATTTGGTTAAGAGGCTTGTGTATAGCAATTTGCTTGGTTTGGATGTCAACCTGAAAAATGGCAGGTGCTTTGTACAATACTTGGCTTTTCTTTATATTTCAGTTTGGATAAAGTCATATTTCTCCTGTTTTCAGTCATTTTGCTAGAATAAAGTTCTTTAATGTGGAGATTAGAATTATTTCTAGTTGTTCTGATATAATTGTAGCAGGGCTTCCCCCCACACAGAACTATGATGCAGCCGTCTAATACTGTCTATCCTGCCTTTGAAATGTATTTAGACATTTTAATATACAGTTTCTATTTAAGACATATGAATAACACTTAAGGACCTGGAACTTAGGCTTGAAAGAAACCATTGCCATTCAATTTTCAATAGGAATGGAGTTCATTTATTTTATTTTATTCTATTGCAGTTTGAAAGTAGGAACCCTCAATGCGGAGATATTGCAGTTCAAGTCAAAGTTTCCACGTGAGGTTTTGCTTTGCAGGGTATATTATAGAATTTCCCCAACAAAGTTCCAAACAAACCATTTTTATAGTTTTGACGAGTGCTAGAAATTCTAATTTAATGTGTCTTCAGGTTGGGGATTTTTATGAGGCCCTTGGGATAGATGCTTGCTTTCTTGTAGAATATGCTGGCTTGAATCCTTTTGGTGGTTTGCGTTCAGATAGTATTCCACGGGCTGGCTGTCCTGTTGTGGTACCGGATCCATCTTGCTATGCTTGATGTTGTAGATTGAAATTATTCTTTAAATAAGGTTTTCTTTATCAATTAATCTAGAGTTCTCATGCTCTTCACACACAACAAAACGGAAAAAATGCAACATGAAAAATAAATAGTGCAACTTTTCAAGCATTGTTTGCTTCTTGGCTGTTCCATGGACCCTTTGATTTTTTCTCTTTTTAGTCCATGTCATTGTAATTTTTTTTATTAAATGCTCCTTTACAGAATCTGCGACAAACTTTGGATGATCTAACACGAAATGGTTTTTCAGTGGTGAGTATGGTGATATTGATGCATTAATTCAAGTTTAGAGTAAAAAATGGAAGTAAATTTTGGTTGGGAACTAATTCTTTGAATTTCTTTTACCTCTTGTAGTGTATTGTGGAGGAAGTTCAAGGTCCAACACAAGCCCGCTCTCGTAAAGGGCGTTTTATATCTGGGTAAAACAGTTTCACAACCCTTTCTAGCTTATGATGCTACTACGTTATATTATTCCCGTTGGTGTAGATGTGATGGCCATTCCTTTTAAAAGATAACTTTAGTTCATGGTACATGAAATCAGTTAAAAGGTGTCATTTCTTTATGCATGTGGTTTTTTATTTATTGGGGATTTAGAAAGTTGAGAACACTTATGATTCAAAACTTGTCTATTTGTTCGGTGTATATTTTTAATCTACAAGTTATTCCTTATGGTGTTTTTGACATTCATACGTTGCTCTGACTTGCTTTTTAAGTATTCAGGCATGCACATCCAGGTAGTCCTTATGTATTTGGACTTGTAGGGGTTGATCATGATCTTGATTTTCCAGAGCCAATGCCTGTTGTTGGTATGAACAATTAACTTGCCATCATCTATAATCTAGTTTCTTCAGATAATGTTCTTGAAAAAAGTTTTGTAGTTCTCTTGCAAGCAATTTCTGTATCCCCTACAGTGTCATTCTTGTTTGCAGCCATCCCTACTTTCTCTCTCTTTTTCTTTGTCTTCTTCTTATTGAACTGCAAGTATTCAATCTGAGAATACCTACCATTTAATCCGTTATGGATAAATATTAAGCTGGAATGCTTATAATCTGATTCTTTCTCTTTGCCTTCCATTTTTGAACGCCTGCATACCCATGTTGAGAGAGACAAAAAGTCTTGTTATGGGTTCTTTCAAGTTTTATTTATTTGACAAGCTTCTTGCTCGTAATAACTAATCATCCTTGGCACTTTAGGGATATCACGTTCTGCAAGGGGTTATTGCATAACTTTGGTCTTAGAGACTATGAAAACATATTCATCAGAGGATGGTCTTACTGAAGAAGCATTGGTAACCAAGCTGCGAACCTGTCGATATCATCACCTATTTCTTCATTCATCGTTGAGAGACAATGCTTCAGGTTTGCTCAATCTTTGAGGCACGTTGTCATCACAAGAATATGCAAAAGAAACATTTAATCTATGTTGCTGTTGCTCGAGGTGAATGTTAATAACTTGCTATTGGATAGAAAACGTAAAAGATATGCTATACGAGTTATCTGAAATGATGTCTTCAAAGGTATTGCAAAAATACAGCTGAAAATCCTTAGGTCTGTAAATTGTTTATAGACATACAGGGCGCTTGGTCTCTAGTTTTTCTACTAAACTCTTCTTGATGACATGTAGAAGTTATATTCATTTTTTGGAATAGTGGTTACTTTTCTAGAAAGAACATTGATTATGATTCAATTTTCTGGTTCATAGGAAATATATCATGAAATAACATTCATAACCCCTGTTTCATAAAAGTTCAATTTTTAAGAGTCTGATAAATGGTTATTTCTTCTCCTTTTATGCTAAGTTACATGGTCAGCTTTTTACTGTATTAGAGGCTGTTGCAGGAACTTCCCGTTGGGGGGAATTTGGTGCAGGAGGTCTGTTGTGGGGAGAATGCACTGCCAGACAATTTGAATGGTTTGGAGGTGATCCTCTTGCTGAGCTACTGTATAAGGTTCACATTTGATCTAAGCAAAGCCTATACGTTAGTTTACCATACCTTTTATTAGAATTGCTTTTTATGCTTTATTCAACCATCTTAGGTAAAGGAGCTTTATGGGCTTGACAATGAGGTTACTTTCAGAAATGTCACTGTGCCTTCAGAAAATAGACCCCGTTCTTTACATCTAGGAACAGCAACACAGATTGGTTTGTTTAACTTCTTTTATTCATTCCAATATCCAATTGTCTGTTTAATACTGAGTCCTTTAGTATTTTTCTGTCCGTGGTTACATTCTTCCAGGTGCCATCCCAACAGAAGGAATACCCTGTTTATTAAAGGTGCTGTTTCCATCAAGTTGCACTGGATTACCAGCTCTGTAAGTAAAACCTTTTGTTTGCTGTATATAAATTTTGTTTTTTTTTTTCAGTCTAAACGCTTCAGAATATTTAGAGTTGATTTAAGTAAATTGATTTGTAATGGGTGGATGTGAAATCAACTTTTTATGGATTTAACCCTACTAGTGATTTTTTTCTCATGAGACCTGATGGAAAAAGTGATTGCCTCCTAATTTTGTTAATCACTGATTCTCAGGTATATTAGAGATCTTCTTCTTAATCCTCCTGCTCATGAGATTTCATCCACAATTCAAGGTGATATGTGATATGTTTTCTATACTGATGCAACATTGGCAATGGGATGCTAGTATATTTTGCTGATGTCCATTATAAGCTAGTACGAATGTGCTTCTTTATAGTAACTTGGTCTAATTCTAACTTGTACAATCATGAGATATTTATATTAATTATCGAAGGTTGTACTGACTATGTACTTTGGAGTTGCCCAAAAATGTTTCACTAAAGATGCTTCTTTCAAAGAGTATGCTATTTAGAAGACCAGAAACTGGAGACTAGCTTTGCAGTTGTCTAAAATATTTTAAATCATTTTGAATAATTATTCCAGCTATTATCACATCTCTTGATTGTTTGAGATGTGATAATCTGTTAATTTTATGGTACAATATGTGTAATTCAGATTCTGCACTAACACATGTTTCATGTGCAGCAATTTGCAGACTTATGAGCAGTGTCAAATGTTCAATTCCTGAGTTTACTTGTGTCTCATCTGCAAAGGTTTATTCTACTCTCTATTTTTTATTTTGCATATTCCCTAAGAGGAAAGTGTTATACGTTGATCGTTTTAGCCTTTTTTTCCTCATCTTGCTTGTCTGCAGTTTTCATTTTTTTTTCCTGTTTTGTTCCTTTGTTTGTGCTTTTGTTTCTAATTCTTGAGATTTGACTGTTTTGCAGCTTGTGAAGCTACTGGAACTAAGGGAGGCCAACCATATTGAATTTTGCAGAATAAACAATGTTGTGGATGAAATATTGCACATGTATAGAAGTATCGAGCTCAGAGATATCCTGAAATTATTGATGGATCCGGCATGGGTGGCCACAGGGTTGAAAGTTGACTTTGAGACACTGGTAAGTATAGGTAGGAAATGCAAGTGGAGCAACGGTTTTTATGTTCTTCAATTAAATGCCTATATGTATGATTTATGGGTCTTTATTATTTCCAGGTTAGCGAGTGCGAATGGCTTTCAGATAGAATTCGTCAAATGATTTTTCTGGATAGTGAAAGTGATCAAAAGATTAGCTCATATGCAAATATTCCTGGTGATTTTTTTGAGGACATGGAATCTTCGTGGAAAGGGCGAGTCAAGAGGATCCATATAGAAAAAGAAGTTGCAGAAGTTGAAAGGGCAGCTGAAGCCCTATCATCAGTGGTACGCTTATAGTACAATGTTTCATGCAACACAATTTGCTCTTTTCCAATTGATGATAGGACATCATGGGTTCATTGCTAACTTCATTAAGAAGGCTTATGAGTTGGAATTTTTGGACTAAAATTTGATTTTACAGTGCACGTTTTATATATAAGTGGAAATCCGCTAGGTGCTAATTTGTGTTATCCTTTTCAATGTTCATTTTATAGTATGCGCATTCCCCTTTATTGTCTGCCATTTAACTTGCTTGTAGATAACTGAGGCTTTCCTCCCCATCATCTCAAGAATAAAAGCTACCTCGGCTCCACTTGGTGGCCCAAAGGGAGAAATATTATATGCTCGAGAACATGAAGCTGTTTGGTTTAAGGGAAAGCGGTTTGCACCAGCTGTATGGGCTGGTACTCCTGGGGAAGAACAAATTAAACAGCTTAAGCCTGCTTTAGATTCGAAAGGTAGAAAGGTTGGAGAGGAATGGTTTACCACAATGAAGGTAGAGGACGCTTTAATAAGGTGTGCTATTATATTTTACAAGTCCCTTTATAGAAATGCTTACATTTATATTCTTCACCTATGTTGCTTCGACTTGTCATTTTTCTTGAAATACTCTTGTCTGAGACATATTCGGGCATGAGTATGAGGATACAACCTCAAAGGAACTTTCAAATACACGAAAAAAACTTTTTTTTAGAAAAAAGACTGAACATTAGAGCACATACTTTTTATCTAACACTTACATTTGAGTTTGAGTAGCATAGTTATTCATGACAAATTGATGATTAATAGAATATTTTTATTTGTGTTTCAGGTACCATGATGCTGGTGCGAAGGCGAAGGCTAGGGTTTTGGAATTGTTAAGAGGACTTTCTACCGAGTTACAGACTAAGATAAACATCCTCGTATTTGCTTCTATGCTGCTTGTTATTGCAAAGGCATTATTTGCTCATGTGAGGTCAGTTATACATATTACTTATATGAACGTTCTTATATATATTCCCTTTCTGAAGACATTCATTGCATGGTAAATGAAATGAAAATTCATGGGTTAAATTCCTAAAACCGAATGCCATTTGCATTTCGTGATGAAACTCCTATTGTTTACTGCACTTGCTCTTGTTGGAGCTTTTTTAGCTTTATATCAGTTTGAATAATGTTGTATATCAAAATGTGAAAGTTCTACATTCTATTTACTTGACCTGATTGTACCCTCAAACTTGTGGTGCCCAATGTCTCGACACATTAAAAGATGGCACCATTTAATTTTTTTCGTAATGAGTTATTAATAGTTCATCCTTGTATATATGTATATAAAAATACTGGTTTGTATTATTTTCTCAAAATCTTTTCTAATTATGACTTCTTTGATACTTTACAGCGAGGGGAGAAGAAGGAAATGGGTTTTCCCTACACTTACAGGATTCAGTAGTTCTAAGGTAATCTTCAAAATATTACCATATGATTTGTCTTCGGGTCTTTTCATTATGACAGGGTGATTATATTGACTCGTCGTAGATCTAGTAATAACCTGAAGCATCATTCAAGGAAGAGATGTACTGCACAATACTCGTGTCAATGATCAAATTACTTATGATGTAGTGTCAAGTGTAACAAGTAAAAGTTAAATATTTTGAGTTACAACAAGAAATTATCATTTTTAATAATCTTTAGGCATTATAATAAAGAGCTTTTTTTCTTTTTATGTGTTTAATGCAGGGTGGAGAATCAATTGATGAAACGAAAGGGATGAAGATAATTGGACTGACACCTTATTGGTTTGATGTGTCTGAAGGCAGTGCTGTGCATAATACAGTTGATATGCAGTCATTGTTTCTTTTGACAGGACCAAATGGGGGTGGTAAATCGAGTTTGCTTCGATCGATTTGTGCAGTTGCCTTACTTGGAATATGTGGATTTATGGTTCCTGCTGAGTCAGCCTTAATTCCTCAATTTGATTCGATAATGCTTCACATGAAATCATATGATAGCCCAGCTGATGGAAAAAGTTCATTTCAGGTATGTTATTCTCAGTAGGACTGTCGCATAGAATTTCACCTACAGTATCTAGCTGTTTAAGTTTTGGCGTACAACTTAGCTGAAATGGTCTTTCAATTTTCCCAATCACAATTTATTGGTGGAAATATGAAGTGCGCCGTGCATCTTACTTCAAAATTCTCAGGTAGAAATGTCAGAGATGCGATCTATTGTTAATGGAGCCACTTCAAGGAGTCTCGTGCTTATAGATGAAATTTGCCGAGGAACAGAAACAGCGAAAGGGACTTGCATTGCCGGTAGCATTATTGAGGCTCTTGATGAAATTGGGTGTCTAGGTATCATTTCAACTCACTTGCATGGAATTTTTAATCTGCCACTTTGTACGAAGAACACTGTATATAAAGCAATGGCTACGGAATATGTTAATGGGCAAACAAAACCGACTTGGAAACTGGTAGACGGGACCTGTAAAGAAAGCCTTGCATTTGAAACAGCGAAGAAGGAAGGACTTGCTGAGGCAATAATACAAAGAGCTGAAGAACTTTATTCATCGGTCTATGCAAAAGAAGCATCTTCCGGACTATCCGATGCACAGCTTGTGCAGTTTGGTTCTGAAGGAGCTCATCTTCAATCAATTAAAGCTTCAGCAGGATCTCTTGGTTGTAAGACAAAGCCAACAAACAAAATGGAAGTCTTGCAGGATGTTAAGACTGCTGTCACCTTAACATGTCAGAAGAAGCTAATAGAGCTCTATAAGCCAAAAAACACAGCAGATGTTCCTGTTTTAAATTGTGTATCTATTGCTGCTAGGGAACAGCCGCCTCCATCAACAATCGGCGCTTCTTGTGTTTATATCATGTTCAGACCTGATGAGAAACTATACATTGGAGAGGTATTTCTCTGATCTATTTATTGTTATTGTTGATTTGATCTTTGAAGTTAAAAAGAAAGTTGCATCTCCAGATGTAAATCATATATCATGAATTTGTCTTTGTGAGCAGACGGATGATCTTGATGGCCGAGTCCGTACTCATCGTTCAAAGGAAGGGATGCAAAATGCTTCTTTCTTATACTTCACAGTTCCAGGGAAGAGCATCGCCCGCCAACTTGAAACTCTTCTAATCAACCAACTCTTAAGTCAAGGCTTCCCTATTGCCAATTTGGCTGATGGCAAACATCAGAATTTCGGCACATCCAGTCTCTCATTCGACAGCATAACAGTTGCCTAACGAGTTAAAACGGGTACACATGCTTCATCTTATCCATCAAATGTACATCAATATGTACTTAATTTTAATAACTATGGATTTAGAATTGACGTAGAAGTGGCCGCAGCAATTTTGCCTTTGATCTCGGTTGCTCCACTTGTTTTGTACATGCACCACCCTTGTAACAGGGGGTAAAATTTTCTAGTCATCACTTATTCAGCATGTATCTATTAGTTCATTTTGAAGTTTACATGAATCAGTATTGAATTGTGTTTCAGTTGATAATCTATGATATGATAGATGTTAGTGATAGATACAAATATATTATTGTGCTTGCTCGTATTTAGATTTACATAAGATACAAATGTCAAACACGAGGAAAAAAGAAACAAGAAAGCTTTGGTTTCAGCTGCATTTCCAAATATTTACAATCTCTAAAGTATCCTAACAGATTTATATGATATAAAATAACAAATCTCAGTTGAGATCATCAAACTGACCAAGTTGTGTATTCTTTTTCATGCCAAGAGCCAGAAATTTTTATGGGTCTTGGAGTTGAGGACATAGCCTTGTTGTCCCTTTTTCTGCACTGCAACACAGTTGCATGAGCTGTTCTCAATCAAAAACTCTACCGTATCTAACAGTTTTGATGCCTTTGAATTTCCGGCAGGCCGCTTATATCTGTAAAAGGAGGAATCATCGTTACCGAGTGTTTAGGAATGTTGTCCGGAGTCTCGACATTATAAAGGGTCATGATACAATACCAAATGGCTTATAAGAAAAAGGAAGAATAAGAATTGATGTTCAAATTTTAACGTTTGTAACGTTTCATTTTATTCTTAATTTTCAACCTCTTTAAGTAAAAGGAAATAGAAGAGAAGGGTATGAAACTCACCCAAGAATTGCTGAAGAGAGACTTCGTTTTTGGCCTATGATAATAAGATCAACTCCAAGATCTTTTGATTTAGAAAGGATTACCTGAGCCTTATCTTTGCCATCCATGTCAGTTTTCTCTATACGTACAGGGATATTAGACTGAGCAATCTCGCATGCATATTTCATTTGATCAAGAAAATTCACGTCGGTCGAACCCACATCAGGCACAAAATTAGGCACCATGGCACTTGCACCGGCACCCGAAGCAAGGCTTGGCCTCCTCAGGAAAGTAGTCAATGTGTTCTTCCAATTGCTTTGGTTCTCGACATGGAGAAGGATGAGTTCATCTTGCTCGAGCAATGCGTGGGACAGCGCATATTGGAGAGCTGCCGCAGAGTGGGGAGTTGGGTCAGCTACAACCATTACTTTTCGAGCCGGTGGAGTCACCATCAATGGCCCTCAAACCAGCAGCAAAAACGATTCGAAACCACCACCACCTGAATCAGCAGGACAAGAGGTTTTTGGGATTGAAGTGGAAACAATGGCATGTAATATGAGGTTGTCATTTTGGTGGTGGTGAGCTTTTCATGAAGTTTACCATATTAACACATGGTTTGATTTAATTTTTGTGATTGGATGGTTTTGAGCTATTTTTGGGGGGTTATGAATCAGTTCCCTCTGGTTGTATTTGCTAACTTTGGTGAATCCTTTAGACTTGGTCAATGCCAACAAAACCAAGTTTTATATTAAAAAAATGGTTTTATTAAAAAATAAGTGTAAACTATCCCTTTTTAATCTACAAAATGGTGCAAAAGTATTACATGAACTCAGTATTGAAAACTCAGCAAATGACTCAGACTTCAATATGTTCACCTTGCAGTTTGTTGTTCTTGTATCAACAAACAAGACCCGTTTTCTATTTTTGTTCCATATATTTGGAGGATCATACTCCATAACCATGTTCGAATATGATTCAGACACGAGTACTAGGAGAAAAATGAAAAGTTACTGTAATGTAGATCAAAAGCAAATGTGTATCAGTGCACATGCAGATACGTACCTATAAAACCTTCAGCCTTTTGTATTTAGTTTCTCCGAAAGGATTTTGTTCAATAGGCCAGGGTTTGCTTTGCCTTCTGACAGTTTCATTACCTGCATATGGTCACTATTTTCAGGAGAATACCAGTAAATTCATACAAGCAAATAAAATGTAACTTTTGTGTAAATTTAACGTGGCTGGCCAGCAAAAAAACCATGTAGCTTAGTTTTTCTGCTGCGGTATTGTTCTAGCTGCTTCGGATTCTCTGAAATCACTTTATCTATCATTTTCCCAATCTCAACAGGATCATTCATCTGCAAATGTTGGAAAATATCAGCTTATTTGCATTTTGCAGTTAATCATACGAGCTGATTAATCTAAAGTTACGGCCATTCGCGTTGTTTGATCCTATGGAGTCAGTTCTGGTCAAGTTTATCATCCTAAGAGAAAGAGACATTCCAGTTTAAAAAGAAAGCAATGGATCTAACTTGCCTGAACGAGGTCCTTCTCTTCTACGAGTCCCTTGACGGTTCCGCCTTTGGCTAGCAGCTCGAATAGTATCTTCACGTTTTAGGAACTTGTTTAAAAATCAAACCATCATTAACATTACCGAAGAAGAAGGATTTTCAGTTGAAATAGTATGAAACGCTTCTCTTTTCCTTTCTTGTTCGTGTGTTTGATACCCCTGCAAATCGAAAACAGCTGCCACACTCATAAAACTTTACCTCTTTTCCAATCTTTCCACCGATAGTCCCACCTTTAATAGAAGCTATCAGCTCCGCTAGCTCTTTGGGTGTAAGTTTGATCTCATTAATGGAAAGCTTTTCGTTTTTCATATAGGCAGCAATATCACCCATGATCCAATTGGCGGCCAGCTTTAAGTCGGCACCACTCGAAAGAGTCGCATCAAAATATTCTGCAACCTAAGACATTAAAAATGTGAAGAACATATAAGGACTTGAAGTAAAAAGTTAAAGCAAATTCAACAAGGTACAAACGAGAAAGCTTGCTACCACTAATGCTTAACTGCATGCCAATGGCAATGGATGTATTGCCAGCCATTATGAACAAAGAATAGTACTTGGAGCACTTACATTCTTGTCATTTGCCAGGAAAAGAACATCCTGCATGCTCATCCCCATATTTTAATACCTACGACTCTTCATCTCGGGAATTTCTGGCAAAGAGTTGTGAATGCCATCAACATATTCCTGAGTGAGAATAACTTCAGGGAGGTCTGGTTCAGGGAAATATCAATAATCCGAAAGTCCTTCCTTTTTCCTCATCGTAACAGTTTTCTACAATGAAGTAAATGGTCAATCATATATCTTAGACTAGTACTAACTTGATATTAAAATCAGCCCTAACCTGAGCACCTTCTTCCCATAGGCGAGTTTCTTGTACAATTTTATCACCTTGGCCTTGACTATGAAGTTGCGCCTGCCTCAATATCTCAAAATCAATTGCCCTATTCATTGATGAAAATGAGTTCAAATTTTTTATTTTAACCTGCAAATATAATATACGATAAGTATTGAATCATAAGCACAACAAAATGTTAATAGAAGGCCATAAAATCTTACTTCAAAACTGTAAGCAACTATTTACATCACATCACAGCGAAGTGAGCCTTCTTGCATATTTCCATTGCTAATTCCCACGTATCGAACCACCCTCTGCAATTCTGCTGCATATTCAGCAGCTTCGATTCCAGTTCTCATATCAGGTTCAGAAACTATCTCGAGCAAAGGCACCCCTGCTCTATTTAGATCAACCTGCAAAAGATAACCAACAATGCCAATAAGCAAAAGACCAAGACAGTCCAAAACCATCTAAAATTGGTGAGGGGGCAAAAAGGAAAGGAAAAAGGCAAAGCAATAGCATTATAATTTCCTATTAACAAGCCAGCAATATGAAATACCACTAGACATACATAACTAAACGATAGAAGTTGCATGTTAATGAACTCGAGTACACCTACACCGCATATGACCAGATTGCAGCAAGAGTAATTGAAATGTACCTTATTGTTTGACAAATAAATATATCTATATCAATGTTAGAGAAGTAACTTGTAAGTACCTGTGCCCCATTACCAGAATGAAGCAACTTCCCTGCATCCTCCTCCATGTGAACCCTGGTGATACCAAACTTCCTATGACCACCACCGAACTCGAGCGGAAGATCCAAATCAATGTAACCACCAGTCGCGATCGGGATATCAAACTGGGATATTTGGTAACCCTTTGAAAGGTCTGGATAGAAGTACTGCTTTCTATCAAACTTTGAGTTTAGAGATAGCTTGCAATTAAGAACAAGTCCCAGTTTCACTGCGAATTCAATGACTTTCGAGTTTAGAACCGGCAAGGCACCAGGTAATCCCATGCAAATGGGGCAGATATTGGTATTTGGTTGAGATCCATAATTGTAAGGACAGCTACAAAAGACCTTGGTGAGAGTCGAAAGTTGGACATGTGTCTCAATTCCGATGATTGCTTCGTAGTCTCTCGTGATCTTATCCACTGTTTTCTTCAGAGCATGTTGTGGAACTTTGGCTTTGGGAGGCTGCTGCTTTTCTTGTGTGGCGGTTTGAGTTTGAGAACTTTTCATTGTGCAGTAAAGAGCACCATTGCTGCTGCTAAACAATGCAGTTGGGTAGAGAAAAAACGGGTGGATTTGAATAGTTGAAAGATAACTTTTTTTTTTGAATTTCCACTTTCAATTTCACGCTTAAAACTTGAAAATCAACTAGAAAAGACATTTACACTTAGCAGTGGAAAATCTCAAAAAGCAATGATTTGGAAGGGAGCCCAGCCCAATAACAAGAAAGGTTTGTCAATTTAAGAGATAGAGAGGAATTCCAAGTGGAAGTCTAAAGCAATGATTTTCAGTTTGAAGCTTACTGGTCTGAGCAAAGGAGGCCGAACTGAGAAACTATGAACTTTGAGACTTAACAGCCTCCCAACAATCATCCAAATGAAGTAAAAAAGAATTCACGAATAACAACAACAAAAACCTTTTCACAGATCTCTCAATCTGGTCGCCCTGCCGTTGTGGTTTTCGGGCATGACTAGAAATCATGTGGGCTCTGCCCGCGATGGTTCGAATCTGCCGCTCACGATTGTTCTTAATTTCATCTTCTTTTATGCATGCTCCAGCTAGTTAATTGCACCATATGTCATAAACTATGATCCTCATTTCAAATTAGGCCCTAATTTATGAACATTCTAATTTTATCCTCAAACTACGCTTTCATTTTAAATTAGTCCCCAAACTTTTGAGCATTTCAATAATATCCCCAAAATATAACCCTAATTTTATATTGATCCCCAAACTTTTAGATATTCAAACTTCAACTTTGAAGTTCTATATTGATCCCAAACTTTTAAATATTCTAATTTCAACTTTGAAGTTTTGAATGATTTAGGGGAATATTATTGAAATGTTCAAAAGTTGGGACTAATTTAGAAAAAGGGTCATATTTTGATGTGCATTTGGAATTTTCAAAGGTTCAAGGACCAATTTAGAATGAGATTCATAAATTAGGGATGAAATTAAAATGTTCAAAAGTTTAGGGACCAATTTAGAATAAGAGACATTGTTTGGGGATGTATGTTGCAATTAACTCATGCTCAAGCCCATCAATAATGCTACCTGTAATTGGAGTGTTGATTTTTCTTTCTTTCTTATGTTAATCTATATCGTTCCCAACTTTCATTTTGCTTTGAAAATCATGTTTTGATATTTGTATTTGATACATATTCATACGTTAATTTTGAAGATAAGATTCGAAAACTTTGAAAATTTGAATATATTTGTGTCACATATGTTCAATACACGCTCCTAGATTCGAGTAACATAAATTGTGGTTCATTAAGATTTTGGGTAAAGTATACAAATGGTGTACCGACTATATGATATTGTTTTATTGAGTCTCCTAATTATTAAAAGTTACAAAATGATTTCCCAACTAAAGAGAGTTGCATTGTTGAGTTCTTTGACTATTTAAAGTTACAAAATGTTCAAAACTCGTCTTTTTCCATTAAAAAATTAACGATTGTTTGAGCTAAACGCTAACATATAGACGGAGATATGATAGTCGTTTGAGATTATAAGATCAAATTTTATCATATCTCAGTGAGCATGTTAACGTCCATACTGTCGTTAATTTTTTAACGGAAAATGACGAGTTTGTAACATAATGAATAGTCAGATCTCTATTTTGTAACTTTTAATAGTCGAGGAACTCAACAAAGCAACTCTCCATAGTTAGAGGATAATTTTGTAACTTTTAATAATCGTAGAACTCAATAAAGCAGTATCCTATAGTCGGAGAACCATTTGTGTAATTTACCCTAGGATTTCAAGGAGAAACCAACTCATGACAAGCAATGTATGCAAACCAGAACAAATGCAGAATCATGAAAGCTTGATAAAAACCAAGAACATCCTATACATACTTATAAGCAGACTAGTAAAACGAACAATATTTTGAAATGAGTTAAAAATGTTTTTTTTTAATGATTTTTTATATATGATTTCAGCCTCGTGCACGGCTGAAAAAATAGCCGTGCACGAGAACCGGAACAAGCAAATGTTCTGCACACAAGAAATCAATGATGCCATGCTCCGGCAACAAACTTGCTATAAATGGGATCACCAGAACAACTTGGTCCAAGAACTTAAAAATGGGAAGACAGCAAGCAACAATCTCAACAGAAAAGGTTCATTACTTTTGCTCTGTTCCATACTCAACTTGTCCTTCACCTTTATCGTCCGTTTAGGTCCATTTTCCAAAGTCGACGACGTTTTCGTGTATCCCGTTCCATCGAGCTCGTCCCATCCGCCAAAGCTACTCGTGCTTTGGTCACGCTCGTTGAGAGAATCATCGTCATCGACGACCCATGACTGATAACCCTTCATTCCCTTTCTGTTCTTCGGGACTTTGTGTACTTCCTCCTCCCTCTCAACATTTGTTACGGTGCGCCGAGATGCATATCTTTTCGCTTTCCTCACCCTGGCCTTACGCTTATGTTTGCTTCGCGACTTCCTCGAAATCATTTCGAATGCCAAAGTTATCGCCGACTGCCCAAGTGGAAATGCTAATGCCATGAGGAAAGCTTTCGGCCCGGTGGCAAACAACAACGAAAGTAAAATGGGTGGTAGCGCCCAACCATAGGATTTGAAAACCTGCATTGATCAATAGCGAAGCATTGGGATCAATCAAAATGATTTACTATAAATACAATGACAACATAACATTGCATTAACAAACTTTACGATATATCTGATCCGGAAAAGAAAAAACAAGTTATTTGTAACAATTCATATAAAATTGTTTTCCCATACAGAGCATGATTCAGTACTAAGCATATAGTGCTGCCAATGGCATTGAATGCTGGTATTATAGAGGCAAACTACGAATGGTGTGTCAAAGGTTAAAAAAAGCTTTTTAGAAACATTGGATGATCAGTGAATATGTGGTCGGCAAAAACTTCAGGTTGTTGGTTGATGGCTTGATTAAGGGCGTAAATCAACATAGCGTTCGGTAAACTATTTGTGAACTGTTCGTATAACATTCGTTTATGTTCGTTTGTTAAGCTAAATAAACAAGTATGAACAAAAAAATTATATTTATTTAATAAACAAACGAACATGAATAGATGTGTATCCGGTTCGTTTATATTTACGAACAAGCTCGTTTATCGACTCGTTCATTTATGTTCATGAACAAGCTTGTTTACCTGGTTCTCCTTTTCTTTTCTTTTTTACAATATTAAATAATGGTGAAAGTACGAACTAAATTGAGCACATGGTAAAAGTTAAAATTTAAACTGTGAATGTTAAAGAGTGTAAGCACTATTGGCATAATTTTATCATTTTTCTTTAGCTTGAAAATGAAATGGTAAAACTAAAAATTTAACACATAAACGAACTATGTTCGTAAACTCTAAATGAACATGTTCGTAAACTTTAAATGAACATGTTCATGAACATATAAACTAATACGTTTGCGAATAATAAATAAACGAACACGACCACCTTCAAAAATAAATAAACGAACACGATATTAAAAATTTAAACGAACACGAACCGAACATGAACATGAACACCTCCAAAAATAAACAAACGAACACAAACATAACCTTGTTCGTTCAAGCTCGATTCATTTACACCCCTAAATTTGATGCCCATGTAACCTAATACTGTTATGATAATCGACAAGATAACAACAAGAAAAACAAAAAGGATAAAATGAACACAACACCGAGATTTTGGTGGAACAACCTAAAAGGGAAAAAATAACAGGGTATTAAATAGTGTTTCGAAAACGTGATAGCGATCGTGACATCACGGTCGCGCCACCGTCCGAAACCGATTTTTATGATTTTTGCGGTGGATCACGAAATCACATTAATCTCGGTCGATTGCACCCGTAATTTAACGGGAACGGACAATTGCGCCGATAACGGGACACAACAATCGTTATTCAACCGTGATTCTAAAACAAAAATATTGGTGGCGCAGTTTTTTTTCAGACAATGATGGAGGAGGAGGAGGAAGGGGGAGGCAGAAGGCGGGGGAGAAGGAAAGGGAATGCAGTTTTGTTTCAGACAATTATGGGGAGGGGGAAGAAGCCACAATTAGAAAGGTGGGGAAGGGGAGGCAGAAAGTCGGGGAGGGGTGATTTATTATTATTTTTTTAATAAATTTTAAAATATAATTTTAAAAGATATATTAATTTGAGATTCCTTTCATTTTTTAAATTTATAATTTAATCCCTAGTATAAATGTTAATTTTAATTTTATTTAATTTATTCTTTATTTCAGTAATATAAATTTATACAATTTAAATTTTACAATTTATTTTAATTATATTTAATTTAGTTATTTTAGGGTAAGTTGTGCGACATTTAAAAAAAATCACGACCGTGATACCCGCAATGACATCTGTTATGTCCGCAACCGTGATAAACGCGACACGACCGAAAACGTGACCGCAAACGCTATTTAAAACCCTGGTCGTGGTCAATGGTGTCCTTGGGACCAGATCAAAGCGAAATTCGGGTTACACACACTAACAAATACTAAAGCTACCATGGAGTTTTTTCTGGTGCTCAAACTAGTTAACTTGTGTCAGCCGCCATTTGAACCCTTTATTGCTAAGGACAACAAAGGATTTTTCAATGGCAAATAGCTATGTAACTGAGATTTTAAGCGCAAGAGGAAAAGTTCCTAAACAATCCAGTGTTATGGTATGCTGAAGCTAACACTATTTACTTGCCATGATTAGCACAAATTTGGTCGGGAAAAGCTTCAGATGGTTAGCTAATGGCCGAGCAACCTAATACTGAAGCTAGTGAACTTGTCTCAGCTGCTATTCTAACTCCTTGTTGTAAAGGAGAGCAAAGCATTTTTGAACATCGCTTTAACCAAATTCTTCCTGAAAATCAGAAGACTTAATTGGATTCCTAAAAGACTCTTAATAACACAGTTCACAGCTGAGGAAGAACTAATATACAAGAAGCGAACTCGATATGGTTTCGAACTTTGCAGCAGAAGCAAGTCATGTTAAACTGACTCAATGAACACAAGAATCAGTTTGATTTGAATCGAATTTCTTCATCCTACTACTTGTTCAAAAGGAAGCAAATCATGTTAAACTGACTCAATAAACACAAGAATCAGTTTGATCTGATTCGAATTTCTTCATCCTACTACTTGTTCAAAAGGAAGCAAATCAGATCATTAAAGCTTTCAGAGCCATTGGCTGAACAAAGATAAGGCTAATGTCAACCAACCAAAGTTGATAAAACAAACATGACCCTTCACCCCCCCTCCCCCCACAAAGCTTTTGATGCACTAAACTAATTTCATGAATGGCAAAAGCATTTCAAAAACTTAATTCCATGCAACTAAAAAAGTACTAAACTTTACCACCTTGATTACATAAAAAATAGTAAATTTACCAACTTTATGACCTTTTCTAAGCATAAAAAAGTTGTACCTTGAAAATCCAAATGCTATCAATAATCCCAGAACTTGCCATTTCATCATCATAATCGTCATCTTCTCCATCTCCTTCTACGTCGTCGTTTTCTTGGGTGTTGAATCTGAAAACTTTGGCACGAATTGTCTCGGCGTTAGAGTCCCACTTTCTTCTCTTCCTACTGCTGCTATCTCTGGCTGCAGATGAGCTTAAACGACGGCGTAAAAGGGAGGGGGAGGGAGGATGAAATGGGAAATGGATATGGGATTTTTGTGGTTGGGTGAAGAAGATATAGGAGGAAGAAGTACAAGGACATGTTTGAGTCGCTGTTGCTGCCATTTCCATTCTCCGATTCTCTGCTTCGGCTTTCGCTGGCCATTTTTGCCACGTTGTTATTTTCTTCTCCATTTGATATGAACGTTGATGATAAAATAACTTGGAAATCATTTTAACGACGTCGTTCCACGCCATGGAATCTTGATCCCTCCATTTTGGCGGTCCCCCTTCCTTGTGCGTCTATTTATATTTAAGGATAAATTAATTTAATTAGTATTTAAATTATCAATTTTAATATGTTTTAGTATATAACCTTCTAATTGTTTTTAAAATTATGTCTAATGTTTAATATCTGTTTCGTTTTAATATTTAACCTTAAAAATTTAATGGATGATTTTCACGTGACATTTTTTTTTATAGGTAAATTGTATATTAACAGTCAACTCCGACAAGCCCTTGAAGAAGATAGGAAACTTCACACCGATTGTTTTGTTCAAATCATTATTTTCCAGAATCAACAAGTGTGTCAGACGTTGGGTTTTGAAGTAAATGATGAAAGTGCCCAGGTACAACGATAAGCGCGGTTGGCAACAAATGGTGTGGAGCGATAAGCGCAAGCACCAGGTACGGCGCTGAGTGGATGGCTTTCGTCGACAACGTTAGCAAAAGGGTATCAAGAGGCGCTTTGAGAGAAGTATTCAACCACTATGGAAAGGTGACACAAGTTTTCATTCCCCAGAAGACTAGGAGTCCTAGGTACAAGGATTGCATCTTTCCTTTCGTCCGGTTTGCTTCCATTTCGATCTGGAATATTGTATTAAAAGAATGAATAATTTGAAAATCAACGGTCGAATTATCTCGGTTTTGAAAGCGAAGTTCCAATCTCAGACCCATGGGAGGTTTCAGAAGAAGAGGTTTGTTGCATCCGAGGACAAGTTAGGAGAGGCTTTGCATCAGAATCTGAATGAGAAGGTTTGGAGAGAGAAAACTAGAGACTCTTGATCGTATGTTGAAGTTCTTGCAGAAGGGGGGAAGCTGGGGAAGCCGCTGCTCCGGGTACCAGTCCAGTGTCTGAACCGGAGGAGGATTTCGAGAAGGTGAACAGTTGGCTAGAGTTTCAGATTCCAACAGAAGAAATGGAGTGGATCGAACATTCTCTATCAGGGATGATCAAGGACAATTTTAGTATGGAGTTCGTTCAAAGAGCATTAGTGAATGAGGGGATAAATGTAAAGCTCGCCAAATGGGGATAATACTATGAATTCTTGTATCATAACTTTCAGATCCTCATTTGAATTGGAGGAAGCATGGCAAAAAAAGGATGATGGCTAGGCTTGTTCAAATATTTGGCTCCCATTAAAGACAAGTCGGGTAATGCTTCAGCATTTTATTCATGTCTCTTGCAAGGGGTTCCCCTGCAACTCTGGCATGTTAGCTTTTTCTCGGCATTGGGTAATAGGTGGGGGACTTATATTGATTTGGATGATGTTTCGAGAAATATGGAGAATCTTTCAATGACAAAGATGCTCATTAGGACTGCATGCAGGTTCGACATCCCTAGCTCTCTAAAAATTCGATAAAATGAGAGAGAGTGTTTATTATCAAAGTTAGGGTTCTTGAGGCTTCGAGCGATGTGGTGAATCAAATCTCAGAAGAAGAAACTGGTAACTTCGCAGATGTCTAGGATTCAGAGAATGATTCTTCGTTTTTCGATGGTGGTGATATATGGTGTTAAAAGTTAAATTCGGTGGTCAAAATCGGTGAAACTTATTTTGTTGAAAGTGGGTAGCTGATTTTTGTTGAAAATTTAGTAAGGGAAAATTATCAAATTTAGTCCCTGTAATTTAGAGTATTTATAAGATTAATCATTAAGCTTCAACTATAAATATCCTAACCCATTTAGCTTCAAAATCATCCCAAATCATTTCTTTATGCCAATACTAAAGAGTTTAGAGAGTTTTCTTGTTAGTTGTGAGTGTTTTGTAAACACTTGTAATTTTTCTCCCTTTAGTAAAAGATCTGCATAAGTATGGAGACGTAGGCATAATTTGTCGAACTCCGTTATCAATTTCGGGTATTATTATTCTACATTTATTTCACATTTTCACTAATCTGGTTATTGGAATATTATTCGTTTTTATTTCCCAACAACTGGTATCAAGAGCTTTTGATGGTGAACTTTGACAGTTTTTCTGCGATATTACTATTCACGTAAATAGTGAATTTCATGACTAGTAAAATTTGGTTGGCGATACGAATTTGTCGACAGAAGTTTTCTAATACACGGTGGTTTGCAGGAATTGTCAGAAACGATCCAAAAGAAGCCAGATTCGAGTGGGAGCGATGGCTACAGACGAAGGGAAGGTGAAAATTGATAAGTTCGATGGTGCAGACTTTGGTTTTTGGAAGATGCAAATTGAAGATTTTCTGTACCAGAAAAAACTATATCAACCACTCTCAGGAAAGAAACCAGAGGGTATGAAGGATGAAGACTGGGCTCTTCTCGAAAGACAAGCCCTCGTAGTTATCCCACAATGTTGCTTTCAACATAGCAAAGGAAAAAACCACGTCAGGTCTTATGGCGGCTCTCTCTAGTATGTATAAGAAGCCATCGGCCTCAAACAAAGTTCACTTAATGAGGTGATTATTCAATTTACGCATGGCGGAAGAGACATCAGTGGCTCAACACCTAAATAAACTCAACACAATCACAACCCAGTTGAGTTCCGTGTAAATTGAATTCGATGTTGAAGTTCGAGCTTTAATTCTCTTATCATCTCTACCAGACAGTTAGAATGCTACTGTTACAGCAGTCAACAGCTCGTCGGGAAACTGTAAATTAAAATTTGACGATGTTCGGGATCTGGTTTTGAGTGAAGAAATTTGACGGAGAGAATCGGGTGAAGCATCAAGCTCCTCAGCCTTGCATACGGAGTTTAGAGGGAGAACTTCAAAAAGAAATCCAAATCGTGGCATATCGAAATCTAGAAGTGGAAAATCAAGAACGGGAAAGAAAGATTTTAACTGTTATAATTATTGCAAAAATGGTCGCTTTAAAAGAGATTGCCGAGCACCGAAGAAAGATACCGGCGCACAGGAATCTACCAACATGACAGAGGAAATATGTGATGCCACGATTCTATGCGTCAACAATCTGATTGAATCATGGATCTTGGATTCAGGGGCATCTTTCCACGCCACCCCATGCCAAGAAATCATGGAGAACGATGTCAGTGGTGATTTAGGGAAGGTTTATCTAACTGATGATGAAACCTTGAAGATCATCAGAAAAGGATACATCTGATTAAAGTTGCCAAACCAAACCACCTGGAAACTGAAAGGAGTGAGACATATTCCTGGCCTCAAAAGAAATTTGATTTATGTAGGACATCTTGATGGAGAAGGATATTGTACAACCTTTTCAGGTTGTGAATGGAAGATTACCAAATGAGCACTCATCATTGCTCGTGGTAAGAAGACTGGTACTCTTTATGCAACCTCAAACTTGGAGAATATCATTGCAGTAGCAAATGTTGATGGAAAATCAAACCTATGGCACCAAAGGCTTGGCCATATGAGCGAGAAAGGGATGAAAGCACTTTTGTCAAATGGGAAGCTGCCGGGTCTAAAGAATATAGATGTCGGACTATGTGAGGATTGCATTTTTGGCAAACAAAAGAATGTCAGTTTTGCAAAGATTGGCAAGACACCCAAGGAAGAAAAGTTAGAATTGGTTCATACTGATGTATGGGGACCATCTCCAGTTCCATCTCTTTCAGGCTCACTATATTATGTCACCTTCATCGATGATTCTACAAGGAAGGTGTGGGTTTATTTTTTGAAGAATAAATCAGAAGTCTTTGATACCTTCAGAAAATGGAAGGTCATGGTAGAAAATGAGACTGGTTTGAAAGTCAAGCGGTTGAGGTCTGTTAATAGAGGAGAGTACAGAAATAGTAGATTCAAAGAATTTTGCGCAAATAATGGGATCAAGATGGAGACAACAGTTCCCATGACACCGCAACAGAATGACGTATTAGAGCACATGAATAAAACTCTGAATGAACATGCCAGAAGCATGAGGATACATGCCGGATTACCCAAATTGCTATGGGTTGAAGCTATCAACACTGCAGCTTACCTGATCAACCATGGGCCCTCAGTTCCCTTGGATGGCGGAATACCAGAGGAAGTAAGAAATAAACCTTTCACGCTTAAGAGTGTTTGGTTGTATTTTTTATGTACACATAAATTCTGCTGAAATAAGTAAACTTGATGCTAAGTCCAATAAATGCGTCTTTGTTGGTTATGGTGGTGATGAGTATGGTTACCATTTTTGGGACTATGAAAATCAAAAGATCATCAGAAGCAGAGATGTCATTTTCAATGAGAATGTGATGTACAAAGACAGGTCAACCATAAAATGAAGTAGCTCCAATACCGAAGCTGAAACAAAGGAATTTGTTGAGTTTGAGGAGTGTCGGAACCGTCTTTCGGGTGAGTCTTGGAATTGGGCTTCGACTTGGATTAAATGGATTAGGAGTCGCCACTGATAATTTATTTACAAAAAATAGGTTAATCAGACACCTTATTTCTTACATGATCTGCGTCTTACCAAAGATGTGTCGGATTCGGGAGTCGGTTACAGTCAAGGAAGGGTTAGCACCCTTGAACTGCCATTTCGGTACTATATAATTTCCAGTTGTCTTTAAGCAAGAAAATTATATGTTAAAGTTAAAAGGTAACATGTGATCTAGATTATTTACCTCTGACGAATTTAAATGACACCCTTAAGAAATCAAGTAAAATGTTAAATGAAAAGGTAATGAATACATGAATAACATAGATAAACCCCAATAAGAAGAAAAAAAAAAGAAATAGTGAATAAATGATTCAAAAACAGGAAGTAAAAAAAAAGATAAAAAAAAACAATAAAAGAAAGAATAAACAAGATAATGAACACATGAAATAAAAAATAAACGAATAAGCACAGAATAAATAAAATAAGCAAATTAGAAAAAAACAATCGAAAATAAAATAAATGAAAATAATGAAAATACAAATAAAAAGGCTTAAAAATCAATAATAAATAATAATATAAAAAATAATAAAAATAGAAAG